CAATAGTAATCCCTTACTTTACTCGTTACTTGAAAAAAGTAATCGGATTACAGTAACGCGTTACTGCCCATCTCTGCTTGTATCCTATGGTTCCTATTCTGTACAGTACAGTTTATTAGATTCCCCCTGTGTCTCCCTCTGTGTGGAGTTCTTCTGCCTTGTTTCTCCTCCTTGTATTTTCTTCCATGTTTCCCCGTCACGTCTGTGCTCTCCCTCGTGTTCTCTTCCCCTCCAGTCTGCATCTCCGTGTACTTCCTGTTTTACTTTGATAGTCTCCCGTCAGTATACGTCATGTTGTGTTTGCTCCTGCCCTGTCTCGTTATGATTATCAGTGTCAGCTGTGTTCCCCGTCTGCTCCCACGTCCCTCGTTATCCTTCTGTGTATTTATGTCCTCAGTTCCTGTTGGGTCCTCCCTCATGGTCATGTGGAATTCTCGGTGTGTTTCTCGAGTGTTTAGCTAACTTTACCCTCTTATGTTTTGCACTTTTACAGATTATATAATATAACATCTTGGTTTAAATCAATTCCTACAAGTTTGCTAAGTTAACATGTTCTTTATTTCAACTGTTAATTTGTATTGTTTAAACTTACCTTACCTACCTGTCTTCCAGAAACAAAAGAAGGAAATGTAGTTTTACTTCCTGCTTTATAGCTTCTGGGTTCATCTGAGGTCACAGGATGAGACCAAGTGCAGAAGGGGAAGAATTTGTGTAATTTAATCAAGTTGATTTTAGAGGGTTTATGGAGAAATAGATTTATTGTTGTAATATGCATTGATTACACCAGTAAAGAGTAGCAGTACAGGTTTGAATATGATGTTCATCTACTGAGTGAAATAGTCCAGAAAAGAAATAGTTTGGTTAAGTGGACGATTTAAGCAGAAAATGCGGGCGTTTGAGGAGAAAGGACCAGGTCAGTGTAGCTGTGTGCACTTTGACCTTAATATTCTGTTGAGTTAAGTTTATTTGAACTGAGTTAATTATGGAGTTGAGTTTCTTATTTGTTTATGTAAATATTGTTTGGGTCACAAAATGGTGAATAAATCACTGGACAGCATCAGTCTCCTGCACTTCTTCTAAAAGAAGAAAACTCATCTACTGGATCTTCTGAAGGTGATTTCATCAAAGACAACATCTCCAATGAAAGCAGCAGAAAGACGTGCTGAGTGTGAAGCTGTCAGCAGGGGGAATAACACAGGGCTGTGAATGAGTCCTGTCACTGTGATCAGGCTCCTCCTTCTAATCCACCAACTTAGTGTTGATGAAGACTAAACAGAGAGATCACAGCTTCTTTATACTTGCTGTAGCTCACAGTTACTCTACACTGCAGATATGACGCCTCTGTTCATCTCAGTGCTGCTGGCTGCTATGTGCCTCGGTATGAACACAACTCTGTTTCTTTGATATCAACATTGACGTGATTCTTTAACAGCACACTGATACTGTTTGTTGGTGTTTTACAGAATGCAGAGCACAAAAAGACAACGTGCTGCAAGCAAAAGGAGAAGAGACTGCTGCTGCAGGAGGCACAGTGACACTTGACTGTCAGTATAACACCAGCTCATCAAATCATTATCTCTACTGGTACAAACAGGATGGAAACAACAGCCCCAAATTCATCCTGAGTCGCTTTAAAGTTGGTGAGGGGAAAAACGAGGCTGGAGACAGATTTTCATCCACACTGGATTCCAGCATCAGATCAGTTCCTCTGAAGATCCAGAAGCTTCAGCTGTCTGACTCTGCTGTGTACTACTGTGCTCTGCAGCCCACAGTGACAGGAAACAGCAAAACTCTGTACAAAAACCTTTGGAGCAAAGACAACAGAATACTCCACAACATCCACTAGAGGGAGCCACACACTGTTAAACCTCTGATTCTTGTGTCATTGGACTGATGACAAAGACAACAGAGAAATGAAGCAGTAAAGATCAGAGACAGAGACAGAGCTGCTGTGGAAGCACAAAACTATTTGATTGGCTGAGCTATTAAACTGGCCCCGCCCACTGAACTTGAGCTCATCCAATGACATTATTTGTTGGTCATTGTGCTGCAGTGGAAGAACATTGTTCATGTGCTGTCTGTCTGGCTTTAATAACTCCAAAGACATGTTGCTGCACCTCTTTTTGCTTCTATCTCACATTATAGGTGAGTTTAAGAACAGGGATTAAAGTTTAGTTGAAGCTGCTGCATTAAGCAGATATACAGACTGCATTTCACTACTTTTCTTCTTTCTTTTTCCAGGACTAACAGCTGGAGACTCAATCACTCCTCAACAACCTGAAGTCACTGAGACAGAAGGAGAATCTGTCACACTCACATGTAGCTATCATACACCTGCAACCAGTGCTTACCTTTATTGGTACAGACATCATTCTGAACTTCAGGCTCCTCAGTTTATACTCTGGAAAAGAGGAAAGGGGGGGACATATGAATATATTCCTGATAATCGATATCGATCAGAAACATCAGATCGATCAACTAATCTGACCATAGCAGCCCTAACCCTGGCAGACACAGCTCTCTACTACTGTGCTCTACAAACACAGTGATACAAAGTGTAGAAGAGGCTGTACAAAAACCTGAACACAGATATCTGACTACTCTTCAAAGAGGAGGGAAGTGGTATTGAAACCACAGCTTCTGATCTGATCAATTTGCCATTTCCTTTTTTTATCAGATTCACTGTGGTTACAGCTGCTTAGGAGAAACAGAGCAGTACGAGTCCCACAACAGCAGCAGACTACAGGCCTGACGTTCATGTTTCAAAATAAGAGTTAAATTCCCTCCTTAAGCACTTCCCACATGAGTGATTGATGCTCTTTGAGAGGCCTCTTGATCTGATCTAATCTGCTATTTTAGGATGGACTGCTGGAAATAACCTGAAAATAACTTGCAGGTAAGACAAAGAGCGTCTTACTCTTAACCTACATCTCCTCTCTGAGTACACCGTCCTCAACAAAAATAATCAGAATTAACAAAAGCCTGAACTGATGGTTAGATTTCTTTGTTCCAGTCATCATGTAACAGCTCCAGGAATCAGTCAGGACACAGCTCTCACACAGCTGCCCTGGGGCAGACTGACAGGCGCGAGGCTGCCATATCGCACCATCGGCCCCTCTGGCCATCACCAGTAGGCGGCAGGTGAAGTGTCTTGCCCAAGGACACAATGACTGAGACTGGGCTCGAACCAGCAACCTTCCAATTACAAGACGAGCTGCCAACTCTTTGAGCCACGATCGCATCGTAAAGGTTCAAAGCAAGATATGAAGTTTAATTTTCTATTCTTAGGCAGCTAAATTAACACAGGTGTCCCATTTAGTCATAATTTTAATATTATAAATACTCAGTAACACACATCCAGTGTTTTTCGGTCTGGTTACTACCGTTAATGTCAGAACCGGTGCCATAATGGGACAGGATACCAGTAACCATCCCTACCAAGGACTGGGTGCAAGATTTGGCTGTTTTTAAGCCTGCACATCGTGAATTCGCCGTCATTCAAACAAAGGTACGTCAGTCCGAGCGCTGCGAGTAAAATGCATTTGAATTTCCTCCGAACATTCAGATCAGTGCAGCATAAATTCATTCATGAGGGGAAATGACAGTGAGAACATGTGGAGGCTGTTAGGTGGATAACATAGTGCACTGATTTGTCCTGAAGGATTTAGTTATTCTCTACGGTTAAGGAAATTGCACTAATTAATTCATTTTTATTATAAATAGTCCTAATTATACACATTGCTTCATTGTTTGTGTCCTGTGTCACTAAAAATACATTTTAGTTTTATACATCGATTAATGACCTGCAGAGTCTCTATATCATTTTAAGTAATTCATAAAAGTTGAGCTTCATGCTTTCTGCATCTTGAAGTGAACATCCTTGCATTACTTACTGTAGGTTCATTGTTTTGCATGCAGATTAAAAAGAGAACAGGCAGATTAATATAACATGCAGCGTTCTATAGATGGATACATAAAAAGAAAAAAACATTAATGTATGTGCTAAACACTTTGTTTGTTACATTTATGATAAATGGGTTTGAAAGTAGATAAAACATTTGTGTCGGCTTTGGCTCATTAAAGTTCTTGTCTTTAAATTAACTGTGTTTCAGGTCCTGCGCTCTCAAACACTCTCTTCGCCCTTTGTTTGGTGCCTCGGCGGTCACACCCCCTCCAGTGACATCACACTCCAAAGCCCTACAGGCTCAGCTGTGCTTGTATATTGTGGACCGTTAAAGGAGTTGAGCCACATACAGGGCTGAGGGGAGATGATCCTTTTATGACCAGGAATAAAAGCTGTGAGGGGAGACTGGAGCTTTGGTGTTGGCTACAGGCTGTTTAATTATGGCCAATGTTTAATAATGAGGATGAAGGGAGCCGCTGATCTCGGTGTCAGTGGGTCGAGTAAACTGTGACTGACAAATAGTTTTAAAGAGTAAAAGTAAAAAGTATTTGTGTATGACTGGGTTAACAGCAGTATACTAAAATGTGTGTTCTTGAGAAAATGTCATTCTGTAATGAAATATAATGAAACATGAAGTGAAATATAATCTCATGTGAGTGAATATTCGATGTGATGAAGGTTTCTGTGTTACAGAGAAGAAGAAAATGTAATGGAGGAAAGTTTAAATTCTGTTTGAAAACCCAGCAGGGTGCTCAGGAAGGAGCAAACTCCCCGCCGCTGGTGACCAGATCCACCGTCGAGAGCCTGCTGACCTGTGCAGCGACAGTGTGGCACGCCAGCTGCACGGAGGCACACGGGAAGAGACTGCAGAGGGTGGTGAACGCAGCACAAAAACTCATCCGCCGCCCCCTGCCCTCCTTGCCTGCCGTCCACAACTCCTGCTGTCTTAGCAGGGCCAGAAACCTTTTAAAGGACGCTACCCACCCCGGCTACCATCTTTTCAACCTACTGCCCTCTGGCAGGCGCTACCGATCCATAAGGGCCAGAACACAGAGACTCAGGGACAGCTTCTTCCCCAACGCCATCACCACACTCAACTCAAACTTGTACAAAAGTAATCTGCACTGAAATATCATCAGTTCTCTGCCCGTCTGTCTCTGTCTGAACTGTACTGTGCATTTATATTCATAGTAGTGTACACTTTTATTATTGTGTAGTTTTATAATGTGCTGTAAGCACATGTGCACTTTTATAGAGCTGTTCCCAGTTTTATACTGTGTTATTCTATGTATAATGGCGATAAAGGCTTTCAATTCAGTTCTTTCAATGTTTTCTTTTCTGCATGTGGAGAAAGTCAAATCGATAAAAAGAGATGATGAGGTGCGGGTGATCCGATGTCCGCTGCACAACCTGTGAACCTGCACATAGTTTCATAGTTTTGGACTTTGAGAAAGAGTCGAGAAGATTTGGATTTCCTCTCAGCCCCCCCCCCCCCTCCTCTCTCTCCTCAGCATGAGCTCAGAGTTCATTTGGATTTTAAACTTCAGTTGAATTCAGATTTATGTTTATAGCATCAAATCACAACAGTCACCTCACGACACTAAAATCAGGAAACCAGAGCCCCGGGTATTTGTAGGTCTCTCACGTCTGGCTGTTTGCTTTATCCTCACCAAAAATATGAATCTGTCAAAAACATCATAACATCAGCATTTCCATTCTGACCAGATACAGGAAGTGTTACCATGGCAGCAGGAGGGCGCCTCTCAGTGCACAGAAGAAGCCCATGTGACTCCTGCAGCTAACAGAGGCTGATACACCTCGCTGTGCGTTTGAAACTATTTCCCACTTTAATGCACCAACAAGTTAATAACAGGGAGGAAATAAATGCGCTGAATTACTGACAAAAGATGATTAGAAGTACTTGGTCCTACAAAGTGAACAGCTGACCGACTGCAGCTCAGCGTGACACAAACACAGCCTGACTACAAAACACCGTCGACACTGCTGCTGAAATATGAGCTTATTACACAACATTACACGAGCATAAGAAAGAGATGACGACCCGTTCACATCTGTGGTACGACCGTCACAGTGACATCACGAGGGGGAGGGGCTTCCCGTGCACGTGAGGAACGCTCGAGCGTCGCTCAGAGCCACATGCAGAAGCTTCGTTTCTGTCCAACAGGATGATTTTGGTGCCGGTGCTGCTCCTCTGCGTCTTCACTGGTAACTCACATTTACAAAGAATCTGTTCTATCTGCTGTTCAGACTCGGACCACAATAACTTAAATACCTTTTTCCTCTGTAGATGTGAGCTGTGAGGAGCTCAGTCCAGTCCACAGTGAGCACAATCAGCTCTCTGTGGAAGGCAACACCGTGTTTCTGTCCTACAACTACCCCAAACTCGTAACTACAGATTATTTCTTCTGGTATCGGCAACATCCAGGAAAACCACCTCAGTTTCTCATCTCACACTCAGCATCAGGATCTGTGCTAAATGATCCAGTCCCGGGACTGAAGGTCCAAGTGGAGGAAAAACTGATCCAGATGAACATCTCCTCTGCCACAGTGGCAGATTCTGCTGTTTACTTCTGCGCCGTGAAGCCCACAGTGGCAGGAAACCCCGAGTCCCTGTACAAAAACCCATCATCTCAGCAAAGAGCGCTCACACTTCAGCTCCTCGGTTCTCTTAGACAACACCGCCATCAAGTGGATTCTTCCAGCTTTGCATGATGCTGGAAGAAAACTCTGATGATGCTTAAATACAATCTGCAAGTTTAGACATTTGGTCCAGAAGTTTATTTGATTAATTTACAGAGAACTGATGACTCACAGAGTTTGTAAAGACGTTGGTATCAGAGAATGAAATGAAAATCACAAACTTTAGTACATTTCCATCCGTCTTTGGAAGCATCAGCGTCGCCAACAGGGGAAAATATCTGATTATTGCTTGATGGCTCAGACAGAACAGCAGAGATGTTTCGTGCTCATCTGCTCATAAGAGGAAAGCAGCCAGTTTATTTATGTCCTGTTTCCATCATGAGGAGGATGTAAGCTGTGTGGAAAAGCACCGTGATGAAAGTTTTGTTGTGATTTGGTGAAAAATAAATGAAATTGAATTGAATTAGAAAAGTGCTGAATCATATTTATTCTTGTTTTGTTTGAAAATCAATAACCAATCAGAGTCGCTGTTGCATTTATTGAAACATGCAAACATGAATAACTTATGATTGACAGAAAGAGGCTTTCAGTATAAATCATGAACTCTTCCAGTGTGGAGCCAAACCAACAGTTTGTGTGATATGGCAGCCTCGCCTCTGTCAGTCTGCCCCAGGGCAGCTGTGGCTGCACCTGTAGCTGCTCCACCAGTGTGTGGATGTGAGAGTGAATGAATAGTGGCATTGTAAAGCGCTTTGAGGACCCAGAAAAGCGCTATATAAATGCAATCCATTATTATTATAATTATTATTATTATTATTATTATAATTATTATAATTATTATTATTATTATTATTATTATTACTATCTTCAGTGTCTGTGGGCTTGGACACGAGGGAAGAGTCAGGGAGAGCTGGAGGCCATCAGCTGATGAAGCCAACAGAACCACATCATCCACAAAAAGCAGAGATGAGATTCTGAGACCACCCAGCTGGAAGTGTTCAGCCACCTGGCTCCGCCTAGAAACTGTGTCCTTAAAATGATAAAAGGGCAGCCCTGGCATTTCTTATGTGATCGAGCTCTTGAATGAACACCTCAAACAAAGAACACCTCAGACTCCCAAAGCTCCTCCCACATACTCAGAGGCACATGGTCGAACGCTTTCTCCAAGTCCACAAACAGACTGCTTGGGCGAACTCTCATGCAACTCCCATGCTGTAGTGTCGATGAGTGTGATCCTCCTGTAGTTGGAGCCCATTCTGTGGTCATTCTTAGTGCCAGTCCAAAGTCTCCACCCAACATTGTACAGTGTGTCATCCAGGACAGCCTACAACAGTAACTGGAGGTTACGCAGTAAATTATAAAGAAACTGTTTGCATAATATCTCAGATCAAATGGGTCAAAGGTCAAAATAATAATGGCATTTATAGGTCAGAGGTCAAAGTGATTATCCCATAAAATACAGAACTTTTTACAACTTAAAATACTTTAAAATATTTGTTAAGTCTAATTGTTGAATGTTGTCATTGTGTTTCTTAAATGTGTAAAGTCTTAGTTCAAGCAGGAGGATCGAGACACTCCTTCGTCTCTGAGCCGTCTGCAGCCGCTCTGTGCTGGGGGAGGTTTGATCACAGACACACAAGATTCTGTTTGATGTTTGGTTTTGGCTTCCTGCTCTTTGCATGGCTTCACTGTGCTGAGCATGATGAACCAATACAGGAACTGAACCAGACACTGGGTGGAAATGGAAATGGAAACATACTGGGTGTGGGGGGGATTACCTCTTTATGACCAAGGATGATGTTAGAAACAGTTGGAAGTCATGCACACACACACACACACACACACACACACACACACACACACACACACACACACACACAGTGTTAGATGGCGCTGGCACGGCTGGCAGCCTTAACCCAATTTCCCTCGGGATGAATAGAGTATGATCAATCAATCGATCAATAGTTCCTTGTCTTTCTAAGCAAAGGGGTTTTATGGAGGGAGGTGCTTGTGCTGTGATGTGTACTGTAACTGCATGTCAATGAAAAGGCTGCGAGGAAGCTGCTCTTTGAAGGATCGAGACTAAGAGCTGGTTCTTGACCAAAGCTTCCCTCGTTAGCGAGTTAAAGACCGGTTGAAGATGTTCTGTCTTGATTTCGCTCATCATGAGGAATACGTCTCTAAAGCAGCAGGATGTGGAAACACAGACCCAACAATATTTTTTCCTATTGTCCGAATGTGTTTTTTTAGTTCTCTTCTTTGATGAGAGTTTAATACAAGTTGAACTGTAAAATGTTGAAACTGAAACATGGATATGTGTGACTGTACTTGTAAGAAGTTTAACTTGATAAAAAAGACCAGCCTGTTCCCACTCAGCCTTTCCTCCATTGTAAAAACATGTTCATCATTCTTACCTGCAGTTTTTAATAAACCTGTTAATTCTTTGTGTCCAGTGAATAGAATTACTATAATATCATTAAGAATAAATAAATTATTATCAATGTACACATACACTGAAAAGAAACGAAATCAATTTCAATTACATGAAGCTTGGAGGTATTTAAAGAAGAACTAATAAAGTCAGTGTTTTACTGTCTGAGTGTGTCATGTACCAGTGGAGTTTCATCCACAGTGACAGATTATACAAATATCAACACATCTCTCATGAATCTGGTTTTTGTCATATTCAGGATACATTGGTACACATGAGCTTCAGGAGAGGCAGAAAAACTATTTCAGCTACAACAGTCACAAAAATGTGTGAAATGATGAACTAAAGATCTTTTGATTCGATAAACTTTCATCTTCTCGGTCACACATGTCCACGCTGGTTGGATCTTGTACAGTTTCCAAAACAGAAACTTGTGTTTGTGAGGAAACCTCAGATTTTTACTCTGTTTCTACTGTTTTCATGCAGAAACTCGTTTCTTTGTCTCTATAATACTCAATGACACTCACATTCCTATGGTTGTATCCAGCAGCCCTCTTACATCACATATGTGCAGTTGGAAATAAATACCACAAGGTGGTGCTAGAGCCACATGAAAAAACTCGTGAGGCGCTTGCAGTTCTCCACCTACTGGCCACGTTTCATGTCAGCAGAACTACAGACAGCAGATATGAGCTGATGGCTGTGTGTAACCTGCATGAGATACGGTGACAAAGACATGAATCCAACATGTGAAGACGCTGCACTGAGTCAGTCGTGTGTCAGTAAAAGTCAGCAAACACTTCATGTCTGGATTCAACGATGGAAACGTTCCTATAAAACCAGTGAAATTCAGCCCAACATCACATGCCAGAGTTTCTACTGGATCCATTTCTGGTGACTGGGATCCTCTGGAGGCAGGTTCATCTATAAATGTATGTTGACTTTGTACTTTGTGTTCTGATCAATCAGCCCAGCAGAAATGTGCCCGGGGTGTAGCTCAGACCTGCCAGGGCAGGTCAGCCACGTACCAGGTCGGTGGGTCGATCCCAGGCTCCTCCAGGCTGCATGTCAAATATCCTTGAGCAAGATACTGAGCCCATGTTGCTCTCTGATGCATCCATCGGAGTGTGAATGTGTGTGGTAAATGGGCTGTATTTGTATTATTTGTAAAGTGCTTTACACATCCAGTCATCCACACATTGACACACCGGTCATGAATGTTAGACAGAGCAGTTAAGAGCTTAGAAGCCTCCCTGCTGCTGCGGAGTCGGGGCGGTCTGCCTCCCCCCACCGCAGGGAAAAGGGTAACACCACCTGGGTCTGGGTGCAGTTCCCCCCTCCAGGGGC